GTAAATTCGACGTAATAGACGCTGATTGGATAAAAACCGTAATTTCCAAATCGGGCGGGGGGCACATAGATGTACTCACTCATATTAAGGTTGTTTGATTATTTGAAAAAGATCTGATTGGTGCATATTTGTCGATCTTTCATAACAAAGTTGTGCAGTTGACCAAAAGTGGACACAATGCCTTATGACTTTCCAGAAATAGAATCAATGGCAATCGAAATTAAGTATCCTCGCCTAAATTGCGATAATAACATACTTGGTACCATGACATCAAACCAACACATACAACTAAATAATATTCAAAGATTTCAAATTTTGAACAATTCCAAATTCTCAAGATGTATCTATTTGTCATTATTAATGCGATCAAATATAATTGAAAAATAGTTTAATTTTGCATTGTAAGTAGGTTAAGGTTTTAGATTTTTAGCACTAAAGTACTCCGATCTCCGAACACGATAAGAAATTGTACTAGGACGTGATTCACACTCTTATGCATGTGCATTTGACGTTTCACCTTACGGGGATTCAATTACTGATGGCGTTATCTAACGGAATTACTTATTTGTGCCGGTGATACAAACCAAAAAAGGAAAAAACAAAATCACCTTTTTTATTAGCACAAATAACGCACGAGAGTCACAATGTTAGGGTTAGGAGTAAGTATACATTATTCGGAAATAATTTTGAATAACAGAAATTTGGTTCAACCTGGCAAATGAACACGTGCCACAAAACGGCACGTGTTCATTTGTCCGGTTGAACCAAATTACGTACCGTTATTCAAAAATTTTTGCTAAATAATGTATACATCCTTTTTGATTAGCACAAATAACGCATGAGAGTCACGATGTTAGGGCTAGGAGTAAAGTTTAGTATATGCTAAAATTTTGCAAGGAATTTTTTTTATTAGAACGTAAAGGGTGATTTCTTATGCAGAATTTTGAGTTACCGATTATTTTTTTGAAAAAGCCTTCGTTTTCATGTTACACCAACGGGTACACCGATCTAGATAAGAAAATTTCCTTAATTGGTTTGTATCACGGGCGCAAATAAGTGAACAACGAATCGGAAATTGAATCTTGTAAAGTAAATACTAACGTTCTGTGTGGAAAAGTGATATAAAATGAACAATTATGTAGACTCATTAAAAAAAAAACAAAATAGAAATTATATCTTTTGTCATAGCTTTTGTTCAGGAGCGATCAATCGATCTTCATTGATTGTCATATAACTTTATAAACTCGCTGAATTGAACGATTCAAAGAAAACTACCAGTAATTCGTTAACTATGGCAAACTCAAGTAATATTGACCTTATTAACGCGGCTTTTTCGGCCGTAATGGGAACCCACAACTTTATATCTGAGAAAGAATTTCAAGATAGACAAGCCCGTGGTGAAACTAAATATAATGGTACATCATATCAACAAGTTGACTTAAACGAGTTTCATCAGATTAATCTTGTTGGCAGTAATCTGAATACTGTCAATGACTTGGACACTGATTTTAACCGTCGGTGCACATTGGATCCATCTAATCCTTATCTAGGACAAATTATTGTTATGACGCTCACTGGTAAACTCATAAAACTTGATTGTAATAGAAATGATACTATTGGTACTATTAAGATGAAAATTCAAGATAAAGAAGATATTCCGCAAGATCAACAAAGATTAATTTTTTATGGGAAGCAATTAGAGGATGGTAGAACGCTTTCTGACTACAATATTCAAAACGAGAGCAAATTGCACATGGTTTTACGTCTACGTGGAGGTGGATGTATAATTAGTTACCTAAGTGTGAGTACTTTGGACCCGCCATATGACTACGATTTTACAAATATTAATGATCTAGGTGTGACATATATGCGAGGAAATATACAATATAAAAGACCATGTGGATGGAAACGCATCGCTTTAAAGGTTACTGGAAGGTATGATAATGGAAATAATAAATGGCTTGGTACTGATGAAAATGCCTGGCCAGTATCGTATCATGGCACTGCTAAACATAATGCAAAATCAATTGCTGAAGATGGTTATGATTTAAGCAAAGGAATTAGATTCGCTTATGGGCGTGGAATTTATTCAACACCTGACGTACATATAGCTGAACAATATGCGACGAAGTTTGTATTTGAAGGAAATACATATGTGATGATATTTCAGAACCGAGTAAATCCTGCTAGTTTAAGAAGAATTCCTGTTGGAAATGGCGAGTATTGGGTTTCAGAAAAAGGCGAAGATGTCAGACCGTATGGAATTTGTATTAAAAGAAGTAACTAATACAAGGTTTATTTTTATTTTTTGACTCGAGGATATTGTAATACTGCTTTTACAAGTATTATACAATCCATAAATATAGTATTTTCAACAGGAGGAACCGTTGATACGTCACAAAATCGTTACACAATTGATAAAAATTTTTTTTATATTATTTTACAATAC